GCTCCTCCTCGGGGCCGAGGGACCAGGCAGGCGAGCCGGGGGCTGCCGGGAGGCAGGAACAGGACCCGGGGAGGCTGGGAGAAAAGGCAGGCGCGGAGAGGGAGCGGAGGGAAGAGAGGGGCGGCCGCAAGGAGCAGCGGAGCCTGCCGACAGCACCATCTACAGTCCTCGGGAGAGAGCGCCAGCCAGGTGGGGTCAGCCCAAAGTTGTGAGTCCAGCCAGGCACCTTTCAGACCAGCTTTCCTGTGCACAGCACACTTCCTCAGATACACCGAAGTGGGATTCCAGATCGTCGTTGTGTCTATGGATCGATGGATCGATGAGAGGTAGGTAGATAGATGGCTGGTTAGGTTAGCATGCAAAATAGTGGAGGTATTTTTATCTGCCAAAAAATTAAGGTCATATATTCACTTTGGCTCGTTTATAGAAAAGGAAATCCTGAAAAATTCATGCTCAGTGGTTAGATTATTGCTTGGGTTATTCTGTGTGGTTGAACCATGTGATGAGTTCTTGTTGAAGATCACGGGTTAAGATGAGAGAAAATATTAACTGGTTATTTTTGCAGAAATACTGTGTGGTAGAAATGTAACCCTGATGAAATCTATACTAGGGGTCGATATATAGTTTGGTTATGTTAATTATTAGAAATAGGCGATGAATTATTGTTGAAGATATAGAGAAGAAAAGAGAAAAATATTTAATGGGCATTTTTTGTTGAAATACTGTGTTGTAGGAAAATAATTTTCTTTTTTTGGGGAAAAACTAATAAAGAGATTATATTTTAAAAAACGGTTTCACTATTTTGCATGCTAATTTAACAATCCATCTATCTATCTATACACATGCATATATACAAGATAGATAGATAGATAGATAGATAGATAGATAGATAGATAGATAGATAGATTGTTAAATCAGCATGCAAAATAGTGAAGATATTTTGATCTGTTAAGAAATGGTTTCACTATTTTGCATGCTAATTTAACAAGCCATCTAATCTATCTATCCATCCACATACATATATACAACCATGATCTGGAATTCCATTTCGATGTCCGACGGAGTGTGCCTGCACGCGAAAGCTCACATCTCAAATTAAACTTTCATAGACTCACGGAAAACTTCGTTGGTCTTAAAGGTGCCACTGGACTCAAAGTTAGTCCTCTGGAGCACTGCGATGGTGAGCCGGAGCCCATCGCCACCTCCTTTGCCCACTGCAGAGGGCCCCCAGCTGGGGCCGCTGGCCTCCAAGGCGCACCTGGAACTCCACCAGAGGCATGACTGCTCCCCGGTAGTCTGTTCCCCTGGAGAGACTGGCATCTTTGGAGAGGGGGTTGCATGGGCATTGCACCCCACTGAAGTCCCTTCCCAAGCTCTATCCCGTTCCCCAAGTTTGGTGTAGTGGTTAAGAGCACAAACTCTACTCTGGGAACCGGGTTTGATTCCCCACTCCTCTACATGCAACTGCTGGTGTGACCGTGGGTCAGTCACAAGCTCTCTGAGAGCTGTTCTCTCAAGGGCAGTTTCTGTCAGAGCTCTCTCAGCCCTGCCTACCTTGCAGAGTGTCTGTTGTGGGGAGGGGAAGGGAAAGGAGTTTGTAAGCCGCTCTGAGAGGCCTTTGGGTAGTGAAGGGCCATGGGGTATAAATCCAATCTCTTCTTCTCTTCTCCAGGGATTTCTCAGCCTGGAGTTGGCAGCCATCTAGGTCTGGTGCGGCAAAACGAAATGGGCGTCTTTGCACAGGGTTGTCAGCTTTCAGGTGGCACCGGGAGATCTCCCGCAATTACAGTTGATCTCCAGACAACCAAGATCAGTTCCCTAGGAGGGAAACGGCTGGTTTCGGAGGTTGAATGCTATGACATTATAGCTCTTTTTGTAGCAGGAACTCCTTTGCATATTAGGCAACACACTCCTAATGTAGCCAATTGTTGGGTATTACAAGTTGCCCAGAGTTGGTAACCCTACCTTGCTTAGCTTCCAAGATCTGACAAGATTGGGCTATAACATGCTCCCCACCTGCACAGTGAAATATAGTTACATTATCCTTTAATGGCCTGTTCCCCCCCCCCGAAATTTTCAACTCTTCCATTAATTTTTTTAAGTACCCAATTGAGTTAAAGGTAAAATAAAGTAAAGGAAAAGGTTCCCTTGCTCGAAAGCCAGTCAAGTCCGACTCTAGGGTTGCGGTGCTCATCTCCATTTCAAAGCTGAAGAGCCAGCGCTGTCCGAAGACTTTTCCGTGGTCATGTGGCCGGCATGACTAAACACCAAGGCGCACGGAATGCTGTTACCTTCCCACCGAAGTGGTACCTATTTATCTGCTTGCAATTTCTTGCTTTCAAACTGCTAGGTTGGCAGGAGCTGGAACTAGAGACGGGAGCTCACTCCGTCATGCGGCAACGTGGGTCTCGAACTGCTGAACTACCGACCTTCCATAGCCTGCAGTTCAGCATCTTAACCACTTGAGCCACCGCAGCTCCTTGTTAAAGGTAAACCCAAAGGAAAATTCAGTGCTGGCTGCAGCTTGCAAGCAATATAAAAGTGGAGATTCAATAAGTCCTGGACCACTTCCCAGAGATATTTCACACTCTGCAGCCTAAAACCTGAATCTAGTTGAGAAAATATGTAATATACTTTGTAATATACTTTATTGTCATTGTACATAGTACAACGAAATTAAGATGCAATCATTTTGGTGATCTACAACAATATTCATATACACTCACACAACCATTCACAACTATCTCATAACTCCCTTAAGGTTCACATAGCAACTTAAAACCACTAATGTCACCCAAATTCCAATTTCATACAGCATTTAAGGCAGTAATAGCTCTCGAATAAAAACGATTTTTTAATCTGTTTGTCCTTGTTTTAATTGTTCTATATCTTCTGTCCGAAGGCAGCAGTTCAAACAGGGAATGTCCAGGGTGTGACAAATCCTGCAGAATGTTCTTTGCTTTTTTCAAACATCGAGAACTATACAATTCCTCCAGGAATGGGAGGGGGCACTCACAAGTTAACCCCTGTCCCTGATTTTGCTAAGGGGTGTGTGTGTGTGTGTGTGTGTGTGTGTGGAGTGCTGTCAAGTTGCAAGCACACACACCACCACAGGGTTTTCAAAGGCAAGAGACGTTCAGAGGTGGTTTGCCTTTGCCTGCCTCTGCGTAGCAACCCTGGGCTTCCTTGGTAGTCTCTCATCCAGGCACTAGCCAAGGCTGACCCTGCTTATTTCCAAGGTTTGATTATTCTGGGCTCGCCTGGCCCATCCAGGTCAGGGCAAAAGACATTCAGAGGAGGTTCGCCATTCCCTGCCTCTGCGCAGCAACCCTGGACTTCCTTGGTGGTCGCCCATCCAAGGACTAACCTGGGCCGACCCTGCTGATGCATTTGAGCTCCGATGAGACCGGGTCAGCCTGGGCCATCCAGGTCGAGGCAAAAGACATTCAGAGGAGGTTCGCCATTCCCTGCCTCTGCGCGGCAACCCTGGACTTCCTTGGAGGTCTCCCATCCAAACAGTAACCTGTGCCAACCCTGCTTAGGGTCATCTGAGATCCCAGCTCCCTGTTCAATATCCTGTCGTCTTTGCGTTGCCTACACCCCAACGAGCAGCACCTCACAGGATAAAGCTTGGAGACCGTTAGGTAGCTAAAGCTGAGAACCAACACTCTCCCAGGGCACCGAGGGAAAACCCAGACAATACAGCTCCCTCCTGCACATCTGTATAGATAAGCATTTTGGCGCAAAGCAGAAAAAGCACAGAAAGGAATGCGGTAGCAATTAACCAGACACAGACCGAGCTCCCCAACCCCCATGGCAGCTTAGCTGACTCTGTGTGTGTGTGTGTGTGACATACATACATACATACATACATACATACATATATATATATGTATGTATGTATGTATGTATGTTAATTGAGAAGTTAGGACCCTTCTCAGTTTAGGCACCACTGGCACCTCCTAGCGTTGCCACTTGCCAGCTCCCATGAGGGGGGGGGTGTGCCTGAAGAAGACGGGTGTTGGGGAGAGATATCAGCAGGGTATATAATGCCACCCTCCAAGGCAGCCATTTTCTCCAGGGAGCTGATCCCTATAGAGTGGGAAACAGCTGTAATTCTGGGAGGTTGGCAACGGCAGCTCCTCCTACAGCAGCACCCAATGCTTCGCTGCAAAATCCAGCCCCAACGGTCCCCGTTGAGCCTTTATGTATCAAAATCAATCACTTCTCTCTCTCTTTAGCACTTTTGCACGTCCGCGCGGGACACAGCGGCGCTTTCCTCGCAAGTCGGGTGCGTGTCGTGAACGCCTTTCGTCTGCAGGTGGCGCTGCCGCGTCACCGAAAAGGGCCGGCCGCCTCTTTAGCGCAACCACGAAGAGGAGCAGGATGGGCTCGCCTTGAGCGCCCCCTCGCGTTCTGGCGCCGCCACAACTCTGCCAGCTAAGCCGGCTCTTTCAAAGATGCTTGGATGAAGTTTGAGTCCAGTCACAGGGGCACTTTTAAGACCAACAGAGTTTAATTCTGGGTATAAGCTTTCGTGTGCATGAAAAGCTTATACCCAGAATTAAACTCTGTTGGTCTTATTTATTTATTTAATTCTATTTATACCCCGCCCTCCCCGCATGCCCCAGGACCCCGACTTTCTTCTGTTGCTTCAGGCCAGAAAGGCCACACCCACCTGAATCTACCCGCTGAACATAAGAGAAGCCAGTGTTGGATCAGGCCAATGGCCCATCCAGTCCAACACTGTCACACAGTGGCCAGAAATGCCAGGTGCCATCAGGAGGTCCAGCAGTGCGGCCAGAACTCCAGAAGCCCTCCCGCTGTTGCCCCCCTCCAACCACCAAGAATACAGAGTATCCCTTGCCCCAGACTGAGAGTTCCTCTCTATGTTGTTGTTGTTCAGTCGCACAGTCGAGTCCGACTCTTCGCGACCCCATGGACCAGTTCCCGCCAGGCCTTCCTGTCTTCCGCCGTCCTCTGAAGTTGGCTCAATTTCATCTTCGTTGCATCTATGACACTGTCTAACCATCTCATCCTTTGCCGTCCCCATCTTCTTTGACCTTCAATCTTTCCAAGCATCAGGGTCTTCTCCAGTGAGTGCTCCCTTCTCATTTGGTGGCCAAAGTATTTGAGCTTCAGTTTCATTATCTGGCCTTCCAGGGAACAGTCAGGGTTGATTTCTTTGAGGATTGACTGATTTGTTCTTCTTGCAGTCCAAGGGACTCTCAAGAGTCTCCTCCAGCACCATAGTTCAAAAGAATCTATTCTTCGGCGCTCGGCCTTCCTTATAGTCCAACTCTCACAGCCATACATGACTACTGGGAATACCATTGCTTTGACCATGCGGACTTTTGTGTCACCCAACAGTCGTTATTTCTCCAAGATAAAGAGTCCCAAGCGCTTTAACCCTTCTTCATAGGGAAAGTGTTCAAACTCTTTTATCATTCTAGTTGCTCTTTTCTGCACTTTTTCCAATGCTATAATATCCTTTTTGAGGTGTGGTGACCAGAACTGTACACAGTTCTCCAAATGAGGTTGCACCATTGATTTGTACAAGGGCATTACGATACTGGCTGATCTGTTCTCAATTCCCTTCCTAATAACCCCCAGCATAGTGTTGGCCTTTTTTATTGCAGTTGCACACTGTCTAGACATTTTCATTGAGTTATCTACTATGACTCCAAGATCTCTCTCTTCGTCATTCTCTGCTTGGATAGTTTGCAGCTCTTCAATCTACATCCTGCCAGTCTTCAGCTTTGTTAAGAACACAAGAAGATCCTTGCTGGGTCAGACGCAAAGCTCACTCTTGCTTAGCAATCCCGCAGCAATTAGATTCAGAGGTATACTGCCTCTACCTCACAGGGTGTCTGTTGTGGGGAGGGGAAAGGAAAGGAGTTTGTAAGCCGCTCTGAGACTCCTTTGGGTAGTGAAGGGCGGGGTATAAAGAGTGGGTCAACAGTGGGAGGGCTTCTGGTGTCCTGGCCCCACTGCTGGACCTCCTGATGGCACCTGGTATTTTTGGCCACTGTGTGACAGTGTTGGGCTGGATGGGCCATTGGCCTGATCCAGCATTGGCTTCTCCTATGCTCTTATGGGACGACGGAGGTGGGGAAGAAGAATTGCACTGCACCGCAGGGCTGCTTTTCGCAGGGGGTGGGGCCCTCCTTGCCAGCTTGAAACCCCCCCCCGGCGCCCGGACGGGCTGCAGCCTGAAAGTCTCTCCAAGCCGTTGCAAAGGCCAGATGCACCTCCGACCAGCAGGTGGCGCAGGCAACGCGGAGAGGCCCGGAGCGGCGCGCCGGATGGAGACTCGGACC